ATTTGAGATACAATTTTTTGAAGCATACAAGAGGTGATGCGGAACGAGAAATGCAAAAAACTGCCAGCAGCACAAATGTTTTCGTTTTCTTTCAGTTCACTTCTCAAAATGCCTTTCCAAAGTGAAACACACATCACTGATATTTGCTGCTAAAATTCTTCGTCTGTCATTTCAATTTCACTCACTTTAGTGGTCACTTTCTTGTATTGATTGCCTCATTCTGCTCAAATGTAAAATGCGTCTGAAATTCGTACCTTTTAGAAATAATGACAGTTTTGCAAATTCTCCTTTGATTTTAAACTAAAGTCGTGTTGTTTTATTCATATTCATAACATTTTTGATAAGTGAAGAGAAGATATTAGAGAACTTTCCCGGTAGAAGAGATATTGTGAATAAGATCATGACATCTGTGTTGCTTACTCATGAGAAAGTACTATGAAGAGATAGTTGCAAGATAAATAAATAAATAAATACCCCTTCGGTTCTTCTCTCATTTTTGCCAGCTACACTGAACTTTCTCTCAAAACTATTGCTCAGTGTCTCGGAATTCCCTAATTTTGTTTTACTTTCTGAAATAACTATCTTGTTAAAAACTGAATTTCACTACAAGTAAGGACTTCAGTTTAATCATTACTCTTTTTTAGTTTTAGCAAAGCTGTTTCAATTGATTATGAAAATTAGATAAATTCTGGAAATGCGTGACATATTGCTATGAAATTATAGTAATTGCGTAAGAATAGTCGACATTCTCCGTTAACTTCTAAAGATTTCCCCAACAATTTCAATCGTGACTCATTCTGTGCCTAGACAATGCCAATTGTTAGTCGAACAACGGTGACGACAACTCGCACAGCCGGATTCCGCAGTTCAACTGTTCCTGTTTGGGTCATCAAACTGCTTACAGTGGTTAGTTAGTCAGTTACTTGGTTTGAACTTGCAATAATACATTTCACCCTCTCTTGCCTTTCTTATCAGTTCGAAAAAATCCATGATGCAAAACTGATATAAATCATGATTATGGCAAAATATTGGAAGAAGAGATGCAAAGAATAAATGCTAAAATTAAATCAATCAGTAGAGTAAAAAAAATAACCAGATTAAAATCAAAAGAATGGATTAAAGATACAGCTTTAGAATTTCTGCTTATCACCTTAATTAATCATTATTGGCAATGACAAGTAATGATTACAGTAGTTGTGAGCTAGTTCTGATGCTTCGATAAACACTGCTAACTTTGATGCTCTAATTTGATCGTTTTTCAATTCTATGTAAATGATTTTTCGTAAAATGCAGTAA